ACCGCTTAAATTGCAGCTGAATCTTTCGTTTACGTTGTTTTTCACCACTGGAAATTATTGCTTGTGGGGTTTAAAATCTGTGTGCAAAAGTTAACTGTAATTTAGTTGGATAGCGTACTTCATTTGAAAGGGAAAACAGGCAAATGAAAATAAAGTGGGGCTATTCTGTACTAAATACTACACAATGTAATAGCTCATATTTTAACCGTCGTCAGTAGGCAGCCCTAGATGGAGAACTAGCACCTTATGTAACTGGTTTCATCCCAGGCGGTTCCTTTGCAAAAGAGAATATTTTTGTACTGCGTAAAACTAGTTTCCTATTCCCAACCTGCCTTGATGAGACGGAATAAAAACCTTTAGCTGGATTCGCGACCGGTTGATTCACTTGCCTATTGGTCTTCATACTTCAATAGTCCCTTAAATTTGGGCAAATTTCTATAATCCGATCTGAGCTCGTCCGTCTCTTTGGAGCATACTGGAAGTGTAGTTTCAAAAAAGTGAGGAAACCGAACCGACGTTATGTCATTTATATGGTGTAACTCAAGACATCTTCGAATGCAATCTGACGGCAATTTCTAGTAAATAGCCACCTTTCTCTATTCGGCGCTTCTTCTCCAAAATTCAAAATTTGCAGTGGAAAGCTGGTGGTTCTTCACCAGTGGCCACCAAAGCCTCGGTGGAAAACAGCAGTTTCGGAAACAACCCCTATGATGTTTTCAGTTAAGTCTCCATTATGTGCATGTGCCCAAATGCCCTGCGGTCTCTTCTTGTTTATAACTATTGTGATACACCAGTCTTTGAAAGTTTAGCACTAGATGTCTAGTAACATATCTAATTAACCACTAGCTTCGCCGAATCCAAGAGGCTTCTAATCAAAAAATTCACCCACAATGTTAGTTGTGCAGAAATTAACAGTGAACATTCATCTCAAATGATATGTAACAGCCGCTCTGAGTTAAGATGCAGGAACAATGGCTAGCTTGCTTGGGCTTCGAAATCTCAGTTATCGAATGATTTCTGCCAAACATTTACTGGTTATATATGCTTCCGGATATGCAGCAAACCTGGCTATACACGGGGACTTATTCAGACCATCTTATGGTCAGTTTAGTCGCTTCAGATAACCAGAATTAATAACACTCTCGGTTTTCTATTGTCAAGACGACAGCGGTGCATACTGTTCAACCGGCAAACCCTAGAAAGAGCGGAAAATCGGACCGAAATTAAAGTGGATAGAAATCGGCTGAACAAGCCTGAGACATCCGACTTCACAAGAACAAAAACATACTACAATCCATGTCCTGCAACGACTGAGCGACCAGGCAGAAACCTTCGCAGCAAATCTATATAGAATTATAAGCTAAACCAAGCAGAACTTAAAAGTGGCGATATTTGAACTCTCCTCCGAGGTTAGTATGTAAGCAAATCAAATACCGCAATTTTGTGCAATTTCTGAAGCAAGCCTACTAAACCATTGAATTATATCATATTTACTCTGGATACGTTCTTCTAGAACCGAGATTGCACAAGAAGATTTATTCCGAGGTATTGCGAGAGCGATATGACAGTTTTTCTAAGTGAATTCAAAGAAATGAAATTTTCACCCATATCTAAGTACACAGCAGTTTTTGCCCAACTTCGATAGGCTCAATCATGATGGAAATGATTGCCTCCGTGTAAGGCCATTTTACTCCGTCCCGTGAAATATTCCCTTTAGGTCTTACTTGTCAGGACAATGTGCCCCGACTGTCAATAAAGAGGAACTATTGTATTACCAAATAACTATCAACCTCCCTACAAATAACAGGGGGCAGAAGTTCCAATATTGGGGCAAGAAGTAGACGTACATCAACCCGAAGAACACAAATGTGATTACACTGGTTCCTTGCGGGTCCAGTCCCCGTAGAAACCAAATGTACAATTGGGCCGAGTTTGATAAAACTCTTCAGGGTGTCCTTATTACTGGGGCAACAATATTGTTTTCTCACCCTAGAAAGACAATTAGTTCACCCACGAGAAGATACTGTAAACGGCCAACCAAAAATGTCCTACCTGCATGTTGGTTTCATTTGGGTGAAAACAAAACTGCTAACAATCCGCCTTTCACACAAGGGGGTATTTATCACGTTCGACATATCCTGATATAAGAAGTCAAGCATTGCAGCCAAGAATTTATACTCGGGAAATAGTTATAGCTTAAGAGTATGAACTATAATATCGATTCATCATACCATACCATGTATATTAATGCGAATATTTATTGAACAGCTTGGTGAGGCTTCAGACAACTTCAATTTTAGAGGTGCCCATCAGTACGCAAACGGCCCCAAACCTCTTGAATTCACTCAAACGTTCGCACCAAGACGGGAGTACCTAATGCAAAACAATGGCTTCTCACCTGAGTTTTCCCAGTGTTTGCCACGTTAACTTCCGTAAGCGGAAAATGGATTCTGTATTAAGGATACGCGTAAATCACAGGTGGTATAAAAAGGATAGAAATATATGTGAACCTACTTCATTACTTCATCGTCACCAAAAGCTGATGATCCCGATTAGACTCCCATTTTGATTTGACAAACATAAAATATGGGACGGATTTTACCCATCTTCGTAGGTCAGCACAGTGGATCATTTAGTTAATCTCATTCGCATAGCGACATGAAAAAGGTTGGTCAATCAACCCCATTGGTCGAAATATTATCAGTATTAGTGTCTGTTTGCCGGAAGCTGGTATGTGATCCTGATCGAGATTAAACCGTTTTATAGGTTTCTCCCTGTGAGGTTTCGAAATTTAACACGCAGCCATTTGCTGAGTATCGGACGATATATTCAACACTGTCTGTCTTGTTGGTTTTCCTTCCGTATTGTTATTTCCAGTGGTACAACTCCATATCAGAAAATCAAAAGACGTTCTAGCGAGTCTCTTCAGCATGGGTTTTCAATGGATATTCATTAAACTTATATTAATACAAGAAGACCAGTAAGTTCAGCGTAACTGCGTCAGTCCGTTAGCCCAAAACCAGTTCAGAAATTTCAGAAACCAAAATGATCTTATCACTAGCAATAAAAGTAGCTTTCCGTAAAGAGAATCCAGCCTGGAAAACCATAAGCTTACGTTTTCTTTTACTAAATCAACCCCTTACAGCATAAGTAAGATGTCGGAACTCTGTATAAACTACACTCAAGTTAGATTTTACGCTGAAGGACATGAAGTTTCAACCTCAGCTTTCTCCATTTTGTGGTTCTCGCGAGCATATACGTTTAGTAAACTGATTCGTATATTGCGCTACCCCTATTATTTATTTGATCATCCGGACTTTGCTTACTAATCGTATGACTCCCGGCAGAAAACCTCAAAACCACACAAACCGGAGGTTTTGTTGCAATTTCCGTACGTTCGTAACTTTCAATCCTAACCAAACCAGCCCATCTGATTTGTGTTTTCGCCCTTGTCTCAACTGTTGCACATTTCGAAAATGTAGCAAACTAAGTTACACTGCAAAAACAACACGGAACAACGCTTGGTAATTTTTCAGGTCACATGTTGCCAGTCAAACGAAATGAAGCGTTTTTAGTTATCGTTCACTGTCAGTGCCCTAGGATTCAAAGGACTTACAAATGCCATGACTCCAAAACCAAATGCCAAAAGTAGCGCATTCAGTGGGCCACTCGGAGCCCAAAACTAAATGGACTGCCCTACCAAATACCAGGACAGAAACGCCTCAAATATCTTACCAGTCCTAACATACATCAAAAGGTTGCAGAAGCAGGAGTAAAACAAGGGGTTAAAACTTCCCCTCAGTTGACAGCCTCTGTCAGTGTTTGTTTGATTGAAAAAGTTCATGATGTTGGCACAATTTTGCTCTGTTTTTTTGGTAAAGATATTCCTGATGTGAGCCAAATATTCCGTCATACGTCATCGTGAACACTCCTTAAACTAACTTCGTTGTAAAAATTATAAGACGAAACGGCATTTCAAGTGTTGAATTCTATGACATAAACTTCGCGATATTTCTCAGCAATGACCACGATAGTACCATGTAAAATTGAAAATAATTATACGGTCATACCGGAAGCGTTTTAGCAAGGTCACCAATTCATATTTGCAAATATATAAGTATCACAATTTCCTATGAGATACAAAATGCCTGTTCACAAAAACATCTTACCAGCCACCATTGCAGAGCTGTTATATATGGTGCCTGGACTCACTCTGAATTCGCAATTAAGCCAACAAATCTGTAATTAGAGTACGTTAAAAAATCTTGGTCCGCCGGTCAAAACAGTCGCACACAAACTTTTGTCTATTTTTGTAGCACCAATTGCGAGCAACAGGCGTTAGACGGTTGGAAAATCTGACCAATCACTAAGAATTCGTAAGGATTGGTCAGTCACACGCGTCCTCTGTCATGTCTTTACTCGGATTTTGAAACATTTGGAAGAAATGACGTCCCAAAAACAGATCAACAGAAAGGACAACCCACATGTATTGACTGATGATTTCAAACCGAAATTTGAGAATCAATGCGAGAATTTTACCTGAAAATTCCGCCGATTGTTGAATGGCGGATGCCTCACGATGGTTCACCTTTCCTAATCCTTCAGTGGATTCAAGTTTACACAAGTTTACACATAAAAACGCGAGTCAAAACAATACTTGAACTCCACAAACCCAGAAAGATAAACAATAAAATGACTCGGTTGCACCTGCTCACTTTTCCTTCATGGGTGGATTTCTCACTCACTCGGTAATCAAGCCACACATTTGTCGTGAACCAGAGAAGCAGTTTCCCGTTATTCCTTTGTCTGGTTGCCTCAGTAACATTTCATTGTAACATAGCAACATTTCAGTGGACAAAGGTACTCATTTGGGACAGTGGGCACAGTTTCTTCTACTACTGTCATCATTGTTCAGATAGTCCACGGAGATGGTATACCAATCAAATACACGATGTTGCCATGACAATAACAAGCCATTGTTTTAAAATGAACATACCATGGTAAATCAATGAACCGGGAGGCAGAAGAACCGGTGTTTAAGTGTGTTCAGAAGTGAAACCGGGAAGTTCACCTGCTGCGTTGCATACAGAGAAGAAAATAACCCTGTACAGGATCAGCGATCCGGTTAATATTGTCTATATCGATACAATGGGGTGTAAACAAAGTTCCGCCATAAAGGCTGAGAGTAATCAACAAAGTGATGATCAAGACAATACATCGCAACATTCGGAGAACGACCACGGTTAGTTCAGCATATGCATTAGCTATCATTCAGAAATAATCCAGTTGTAATTTTGAAGTCTACATTGTGTAGTTTCGTTCAAATCTGTAAGCGATATAGAAAGATGGATGTTAACAAAGCGGCTTTTATTTTGGTAACACCCAGGATGAATTTTAGTCACATTTGCCAGAATTAGTGTCCCATTTTTCGGTTTGCCTGTGAACAACATAATCTCAAGTAAAGAATAAAAGAAGTAGCTGATATTCTAGCAAACACTAAGTTCCTCCGATCTTCTTACTTCATAGGATTTATTCGGGTTTACATAGTTTCAAAATGAACAAACGTTACCATTCTTAGTGTAGCATTAGCTTATCTGTAACTTATCGAATTTTTTGGTGCTAAATAATTCACTGGGTTTCATTTTGTCAGTCATGAGAAACTCGATACGGATCACCTAAAATAAAACGCCATTCCAACTTGCACTTTTACTTTTATACCTAATTTATACATAATCCTACGCCTTAAGTATCGTTTCAAGTAAGTATGTAAAACGTATGTCATGGGGCTCATACCTTCTGGGGCATCACGAGCATTCTTACTTCCTCGAAAGGTAACTAAGTATACGTTGTCTGTACTACTCAATGTATGTTCGTGTCATATTTTCTCAACAAAAGCAGGTTAGATCTTAGACAGTGCAAACATATCATTTAAAACGCATATGGGCCAAACGAGACATCTTTGTGCATAAGATCACACGTATGAACGCTGACATTACAGCAAAGTAGACATGAGATGCATGCGTTGGATTTATGCTTTCCGTAATTTCGTATGTGAGGGGCAGCAGTTCCATAACAAAAACGTGAGTGACTTTTTCCTAATTTCAAGCCATTAAAATTGTGTAGTGTCAATGTCTTTAACTCTCACTCCTCAAAGCTCATCCTAAGATGGAGGAGCAGGTTAATCCTATAAATTTCTTCTTCCAGTAGCGGACATTGATCAGAACAGAATAGATTATAGCAGTACACCAAGATAAGTAGCCTTTAGGATAATTATAAGTAGATAAAAGCTGCTGTGTAGATGAAAATGACAAAGTCTCTATAAAGTAATTTGTTATCACTGCAATCTTAGTAGAATTATATGTACCATTGTAGGTTACCAAAAAATGTTGTACCGTTTGTGGATCCGTTCCGCTAAGAAGGAAAAGCTGAACTAAATCAGGCAAACATCAGGAATCAAACTGGCTTTTGATAACGTAATTGACACTTATGTGACTTGAAATAAATAAGAATAATGTGTAGTCGACTGATTGACTGATCCGATCAGTAAGAGAGTGATAAAATAAATGTCCATAATAAGAATGTGAAGGTTTTATTGGCGTTTCATCACAACTGATGAATAAGTATGCCGAATAAAGGCTGATCTTCTTAAAAGCACAAATTTCCCTATAGTCTGGGTAACAGTGCCTCCTAGTTTGTGTAAGGAACATTGAAAAGGCTGTGTTATCCATGTTTTCTCCAAACATTCAACATAAACTGAATGACAGCCGACTAAACATGGTCCAGTATGTTGCTTTTGTAGGCCAGTGATGTATTGTTCAACTATGCTGAACCCATGAACAACCATTTTAAGTGCCGGGAAATGACAGCGTAAACGAACAGAAGTAAGTTTCTCCTTGTGGGTAAAAGCGTCCTTTCATTGCCTGCCATTGTAAAGTGCTTAGGCCTATGATGTGTCTCCAGCAACCTGAAAAAGCCTAATAATATATGTTCGTGTGATTTTTGTGTTCCAACACTTTCAGCCAAGCCCTCATTTTTCTGGAAGTCTATCTCAGATTGCTCCCCATGTGATCGAACAAGATCCAGCGAATAATATTTTAGAAGCTAATAACAACAAAGGAAAATTATGGGAGTTGTATCCGCGTTCTAGTAAGTGAGCGTCGCTTATAGTAACCCAACAACATATTCCAGACGAAATTGGAGTAAAATTCAATTGACTGTGAACAGCAGAGTATATTTCGTTATGCACCACCAGTCAAGTTGAAAATATCCGTTTGTGTTGTTCAAAATTATTGTAGAGTTCTCGCAGTATAGTAGTAAGGGCAAATTATTCACGCGGGTGACCAAGAGTATTTGTGGAATAATAATCTTGGAAATTAACCAAAATTGTCACACCCACAAGGCTGTAAATATTTATTGAACTGAACCATGAGCTGACCGCCAACTCTATGGAAGCTATTATCATCATGGCGTTCGCTGCACTCCACAGAAATATTGTCTGCCGACTCTTGCTTGTTTACTCTTTTATGAGCACACCAGACCCAAATTAATAATATGTTAATATATTAAACAAAGCACACCGGCATTCAGAGTGTGTCTTGTCTTATACTTGCTGCTTACTGCGACAAATAATTTTACAACCGTTATCTGAAGCGGATTTTCTATGAACACAATGCTCAGATTACTGTGCGCCTTAGTGGACGGCAATTTCTTTCAAACATTTGTATGGAAGAAGCAGATGAACTGGCCTCCAAGAAGAATCCAATGTGGTTATCTACTACAGAGTTGGGGAATAGACTTACGAACATCACGTATATCCACAATGGACCTGTGCAACAGAAATATTGTTTCCAGTCAACTGACTAGTCATCGTTTTAGAGAGGTCTGGTAAATTCACGAATTTCTTAGCTAAAGTCTCTGAATCACTGTTTTATTTTGAAGGCCCGATCTTGGAAAGACAAATTCGTGATCAACAGTTAATGATCTGATAACTCAACCATCTAAACAACTAAATATTATTCCATATATCCCACTAAAGCACGGAATTGTAGTCTTCATCTCCAGTGGCGCTATTCTCTTGGTCAAATTACCAATAAGGCATCTAGGGTCAAAACTCAATGTACGCTCATCTGGTGAGCTCCAGTATACCTAAAGCGCTGTACTAAAATTTGTTGTGCTGTATAAAACGCCATAGTATAAATGCCCACGGCAAAAGTGTGATATTCAAAGGCCCATTTTCACCAGTTTAACGTTAAGTGGCTTCAAAAAGATTTTTGCCTTAGATTTTTGCTTACTGTTTACTGAATCACAAACCGACTTTCTTCTTTATTTTTCCTCACAAAAACTGCACCGTGCCCAGTGACATTTACTTCTGTATTTTTCATTGCATATTCAACATTCCCAATGGAGTGTTCTTTATCAGGCTTTGGGTGTGTTTCGGTGTAAATAATTCAGCTGAAAGCAGTTCCATGTGAGGATCGATGGTGCATCACATATTCTGCAAATTTTGCGCCAACGTTTGGGTGCGAATTGTTGCAAAAGTATAGTTTAATGAGGTGTCATGCTAATAGTTTAGAAACTTTTATTGGGATTTCCACCTGTAAATGAAGCCAATCCATGAGAATCCATTGAGAATTCTCAAAGCATTTTACGCTGCAATAAAAATGTAGGCAGGTCAGGGTGGTGGCTGAATCACTCAGCGAATGGAACTGCCACGTAATTAGTCGCCACTTAATGAGTAAAGTGACGTAAATTATGTGATGGGAAAATGAGTGAGCTACTTTTTGAATTAGGGTTAGTCAAAATGCTGTTGATGCGCTCATGACCAAAAGGGTGTGTTCGAACTACGAAAGATGAAATCGAAATCCCCTGAATTTTCATGAGTTGCGCACTGCTTATGAGTTTCAGCACGAATACAACATCTGGGTAGCACTTCTCGGTGGTTCAGCGAAGAGTTGTCTCATTTTATTCAACTTCCAAAAAGAATCTGCTATCTCTCGATATCATTTTCTAGCTTGAAGTTTGGTTTCTTGTAATTATTTTAATCCGTTTGCGACTAGCATTGCATTGTGTTTGCTAAACCGCTATCTCCCGATAGCACCACTCCCTGTTTTAACTGGTATCCAAAGCCTAGAGACGCATACCCCACTGATATTCGGTGGAACTTACTTACTTTTATTGAAAGATATCAAGACTCCACAGAAGAATGAGCAAACTAGCCGAATTTTGGCTAGTCATCTCTCAAACCAAGAATCTACTATAGGTCTCGGACGGATAATTTTTAAGGACATGAATGTCATTTACTTCTCCAATGGTAGTTCATCTGTTCTTTTTTGTGCCAACGGAACATATATATTATCAGGCGAGACAGCCTCCCAAATAGTAATTTCCTGAGACCACAGCCTATATTAAATATATTTATAAATGTTACCCTGGAATCTATGCTTAATTTGACCTTATACTGCGGCACTAACAGTTTCAAACTCATGAAGAACACACCAAGAAAGGTTTATCACGCATCTTTGGCAAATGACCCAAAAGGAGTGTCTACGCTGAAGCGTTTGTCCGTATGTGTTCTCGCTGCAATCTGATTTTCAGACGCCGGATTCCAGTGAGATGCATTGTGAATATCTAAAGTCCCAAAACTGACCTTTTTTGGACTCCGTATTTCATTGAACCTGTAGCCGCATATATTGTGCATGAAATTTAGTGTGGCGTTAGGACTCCTAATTCGTCATGAATTTACACCTACTGTATGTCCCAGTAGCATAATCCTGATGAGATATATATTGGGGACTAGTAGCTAACGGGCTTAAAGTATAAAGTTGTAAACTCCGTAGATGGTGACATTTGTGTCTTCAGATCCATTTTCAAGCATAAACAAATTACGCCTCAGCAAGGAACAACTCACAACGTCACACTTTTGTCTCCAAATCAGCTCTAAAATCATAATACCCATAACACCTTCTGACAGTACTCGGGTTTCCGCCAAAATATCGAAAAAAAATTCCTCACAATAAGTTTCGCACTGCCGATGCGTGCAGCGGTAGATCTTTGGGTCCGTATAAATATGTGGCTTGGAACTTTAAATTTTGTATGTGCAACAGGCATTGTTGCTTCTGTAGCTTTGCCCGTGAAAAACAATCCACATTGGGGTGCTGCATCAACACACGGTATATTCAAGGAACGTCCCAATTTTGTTACCCAAACCGAAGCAAGATTAGAGGCTGGTCTGTGAGGATGGCA